CCGTTTAAACTTTGATAAATGTAGAGTTTAAAGTGACTTACGTGCAGGTGGTGTGTGGTTGTGAGTCCGTGGGGCCGTGGGTCTAGTCTCTGGACCGGTTTCCCGTCCGTTTCGCTCGCGTTTGTGCCGCGAAGTGAAGAGAGAGCAGAGACTGGACCAGAGAGGAGCAGAACCAGAGTCAGCTGTGTTTGTTTCCCGCGGGGTGACGTCACGCCCGGCGGATACTGGTCTCTGATTGGTGGAGCGCCGAGGCGGTAGTGACGTCAAGGCGTTCTGGGGAAAGTTTTGGCGGAATTTAATTTTTGCCGCGAAATGTTCGTTTGTTTTGTTTTGTTTGTCTGACTGACGTGTGGTCGTGTTTAATCATGTTTAAAGACCCAGGACTGAGGCTGTAGACCAGGGGCGTAGCTAGCCCTAAAAATATAGAACAAAAAATATATAAAAAAGAAAAAAAAAAGAATATATTACGGATTTTTAAAACGCATCCAGGTTATTTATAAATACTGTTATTATTTCGTAAAATTCGTTGTTACCATCTATTTAAAAATGTCTGGAGTCATTCCATTTCATGCAGAGAACGCACCTGCTCTGGTCCCGCTGCGTCTGTCTGTCTGTGTCTGTCTGTGTCTGTCTGTGTCTGTGTCTGTGTCTGTCTGTGTCTGTCTGTGTCTGTCTGTGTCTGTCTGTGTCTGTCTGTCTGTGTCTGTCTGTGTCTGTCTGTGTCTGTGTCTGTCTGTGTCTGTCTGTGTCTGTGTCTGTCTGTGTGTGTCTGTCTGTGTGTGTCTGTCTGTCTGTGTCTGTGTCTGTCTGTCTGTGTGTGTGTCTGTGTGTCTGTCTGTCTGTGTCTGTCTGTCTGTGTCTGTCTGTGTCTGTCTGTGTCTGTGTCTGTGTCTGTCTGTGTCTGTGTCTGTCTGTGTCTGTCTGTGTCTGTCTGTGTCTGTCTGTGTCTGTCTGTCTGTGTCTGTCTGTGTCTGTCTGTCTGTGTCTGTCTGTCTGTGTCTGTGTCTGTCTGTCTGTGTCTGTCTGTGTCTGTCTGTGTGTGTCTGTCTGTGTCTGTGTCTGTCTGTCTGTCTGTGTCTGTCTGTGTCTGTGTCTGTCTGTCTGTGTCTGTCTGTGTCTGTCTGTGTCTGTCTGTCTGTGTCTGTCTGTGTCTGTCTGTGTCTGTCTGTGTCTGTCTGTGTCTGTCTGTGTCTGTCTGTGTCTGTCTGTCTGTGTCTGTCTGTGTCTGTCTGTGTCTGTCTGTGTGTGTGTCTCTGTCTGTGTCTGTCTGTGTGTGTGTCTGTCTGTGTCTGTCTGTCTGTGTCTGTCTGTGTCTGTCTGTGTGTGTGTCTCTGTCTGTGTCTGTCTGTGTGTGTGTCTGTCTGTGTCTGTCTGTCTGTGTCTGTCTGTGTCTGTGTCTGTCTGTGTCTGTGTCTGTGTCTGTCTGTGTCTGTGTCTGTCTGTGTCTGTGTCTGTCTGTGTCTGTCTGTCTGTCTGTGTCTGTGTCTGTGTCTGTGGCAGATCTAAAGTTCTCTTGAATAGAGTCATTTGCGTCACATTTACTGATCTCCTGCTTGTCACACACAGTTCATGTTTTATATGGTGTAGATTATAAAGCCCTAAAGCTCTTAGCTTTATACTAACTAATAAAACGTAGCTATCTCTGTAATGATATCTTCATCACTGTCACAGTCAGTCTGTGTTGTGATAGCTTTGTTATATTTATAATATTGAATATAACTCTATACTGAAAGCAAAAAACCACATTTACACTGTAAATGTGTTAGCAAGAGTGGACTTAGCTGCAAAGATGGATTTTAGAGCATTTTTCAAAGGGAAAACTTCAGGTGAGGTTTGTGTAATTTTTAGTGAAATATTAAATAGTATAAAGGACAGTAACTGACCTGCATTAGTCTGTGTTGGTCTGTGATCAGGTAAACAGACACTGCTGTGATGTCTTTAGTTTGATCCCAGTAATACAGAATCAGAATAGTCAGAATACATTTGTTTGTGATCTGACCTTAAGTTTTAAGTTAACAGGTGCTATATTTATTTCATAGTGTACTTGATGCATATTAAATGTGTCTTTTAGCTGACAGCAGTTAAAGGGAAGGAGAAGAGTGAGAACAGAAGGTAAGACACTAACAACACAAATGTTGGTCCAAGCATGAGTTGTGTGAGCGATGGAATTATCTTATTTTCTTTGAGGGCCGTGTTTGAAGTTGGGGTCTTGTAATAATCTTCTTAACAAATTCGAGCACAATAGAACAAGCGGATCTTAACATGTGACTAGTTTTTGAGGCTCTACTTTCATCCACTTCAGGATTGCACAGGTGTGGAGCGGATCCTCTCAGAGTGGGTCTCACGGAGGTTTCTCACTTTTTTCCCACTGGGTTTATTTGTTATGAGTTGTTCCTCTGATGCAGGAGGGTCTGTTGGGCAGTTAGTGTCCGACTAGAAGGACTGTGATGATCCAGGACACTTTAACATTCTACACCATGTAAGGACATTATTCAACATTCATGAACATTGGTCTCTCCCTATGGACCAACTCATATTTGTATTTCTTGTGTTTTAACTGTTGATTCTCTGATCTGTGTTGTGGATTTCAATGGTTTTGAGAAGTCTCTGAGATCATTTCTGTTGTGATTTAGGGCTATACAAGAATAATTTGTTGTTGTTGTTGTTGTTAGCACAGGCCTTAGTTCACAAAGATGCCATTATTGATTCCCTTAAAAAGAAACCAAGTGATATCACGGATGCAGACATTTATACAAGATTCTGTGTGAGGCAAATGAGATTCCTGAACCTTCATCAGGTAAACGAGCTAAGGCAAGAAAATGAGATGTTGTGGAATCCTCATGAAGGACAAAGAAGGAAGCTGTCTCCTCAGAGTCTGTGGATTATCAAAGGAAACTTGTGGCTGAACTTGAGAAGAGGTTTTCTGGTGTTAGTCAGATGTTGCTTCAAGGTGTTCAAGGATGCAGTGTTTTGTCTGAGCTTTGTCAACACTGGCCCAACATTATCTCATTGATCTGAGGACAGAAGAGTGAGACATGCTCTCCGTGTACAGCCTCTTGGAAAATGAGGTGTTTCCATCCCTAAAAACAGTTTTACAGGTTGCATTCCTGTCAGCAGCTGTAGCTCTTAGTTGACAACAAACTCTGGTCAAAGTAGGATTCACAACATGTCAGTTATGTCAGTTGCTGTATGTCAGTTGAAAAGGAAGTTCTTGCCAAAATGGACAGATTTGCACGACTGAGAGTGAGGCACCACAGATTATCTCTTTAAGAATCAGGCCGTGTTATTTGCATTATTTCAGAATTTATTGTAAGATACGTTGTAAGAGCGAGTCATTTTTGTAACTAATTTTGCAGTTTGTTACGTTGTACTCATGAGTCTGTTCTAATTATGTATCATTGTACTATTATTACATTCCCACCTCTACACCTTCTCCACCGACTCCCACTGATGACTGCTGTCGTTGTGTCCTTGGGCAAGACACTTAACCCCACTTTGCCCAAAGCCCCCACTGAAAGATCAAGGCTATGCTCACACTCAGAGAGCAGCCGTCCTCCTGTGGACTCACCACCTGCAGAGGGTCAGTGAGGGGCTGGTGCTATGAGACTTGGGTGGTCTCTCTGACTGCCACCCCCCTGACCCAGAAATGGATTAAAGGGAAGAAAATGGATGGATGGATGCTATTATTACAATACATTTCCCTCATATTGAAATTCCATCTACCTATGCCCCTCCCACCCCAAGGTGCTAAGCACCCCTGAAGCAGAAAGTCTAAAATCGCCCCTGCTGTAGACCCAGGACTGAGGCTGTAGACCCAGGACTGAGGCTGTAGACCCAGGACTGAGGCTGTAGACCCAGGACTGAGGCTGTAGACCCAGGACTGAGGCTGTAGATCCAGGACTGAGGCTGTAGACCCAGGACTGAGGCTGTAGATCCAGGACTGAGGCTGTAGACCCAGGACTGAGGCTGTAGACCCAGGACTGAGGCTGTAGACCCAGGACTGAGGCTGTAGACCCAGGACTGAGGCTGTAGACCCAGGACTGAGGCTGTAGATCCAGGACTGAGGCTGTAGACCCAGGACAGATCCAGGACTGAGGCTGTAGACCCAGGACTGAGGCTGTAGACCCAGGACTGAGGCCGTAGACCCAGGACTGAGTAGGGAAAAGGCCAAGGCAGAACCTGAGCCTTGATGAAGGGACAGACAGGGGAAGCTCAGAGATGTATTTTTTTATTTGTATTTTAATGTTAAATAAACCACTCCCCTCAGGCAGGAGGCTGCGGTCCATCAGGACTAGAACCTCCCGCCACAAGAACAGTTTGTTCCCCTCTGCTGTTGGACTCTTGAACACTTCTTAACCTGTCCCCCCGCCCTTTATAAAGTCACTTTACTGCCCATCATACGTCACTTTACTTCACTGTACTGCTGTCACCTTACATTGTGTGCACCATGTGCACTTGTATATTGTAAATAGTAACTGTAACTGTATTTTAAATTTAAATGTATTCCTTAGAAGTGTTTTTTATTCTTATTTTTATTATCTCTTTCTGACTGTTGCACTGAGCCAAAGCAATTTCCAAGTCTGTGACCTCCTGTTACTTACGTGGCAATAAAAATGATTCTGATTCTGATTCTGAAATAAACATTATTTTTGTATGAAGACTGTGTGTGTTTGCGTTTCTGTGTGTGTATCTTCGTGTGTGTAGACGTGTAAAAATACTCCGGAACTCTCTGTGATGACTCTTATTTTGAAGGACCCCCGGAACTCTCTTTGATGACTCTTATTTTGAAGTACCTCCGGAACTCTCTTTGATGACTCTTATTTTGAAGGATCCAGGAACTCTCTTTGATGACTTTTATTTTGAAGTACCTCCGGAACTCTCTTTGAAGACTCTTGTTTTGAAGGATCCCGGAACTCTCTTTGATGACTCTTATTTTGAAGTACCTCCGGAACTCTCTTTGATGACTCTTATTTTGAAGGCACTCTCCAGAACTCTCTGTGATGACTCTTATTTTGAAGGCACTCTCCAGAACTCTCTGTGATGACTCTTATTTTGAAGGATCCCCGGAACTCTGTGTGAGGACCCTTATTTTGAAGGAGCTCCGGAACTCCTCGGGCTCCGTGCTTGTGTCTTGCCACTGGTCCAGAGCGGAGGCGGTGTGTCTCTCCTCCTCTCCCCCGCGCAGCCGCTCCGTGAGACGGCCTCATCCTCTCCTGTCCCCCGCTGAGGTCATGGACGAGCAGGCCGGTCCTGCCGCTCTGTTTGCGGGCAGCAGCAGCCTGGTGTCCCCGCTGCACGGAGCTGGAGATGCGGCCAGAGCGCTCTACAGTCTCCCCGGAGCTCTGTGCTTCCTCCACCGGCAGTGGGACAGCTTCGAGCGGGAGAGACACGACTGGGACACCGAGAAGAGCGAGCTGCAGGTGGAGACCAGGACTGAGCCAAGACGGAACCAGGACTGGATCAGGACAGGACCAGGACTGGACCAGGATGGAACCAGAACATGAATCCGGACTGGACCGGGACTGGACCAGGGCGGGACCAGGACGGGACTAGGACGGAACCAGAACAAGGACGGAGCCAGGACGGGACCAGGACTGGACTGGGACTGGACCAGAACTGAGTCAGGATGGGACCAAGGCTGGACCAGGACTGGACCAGGACGGAACCAGGACTGGGCCAGAACTGAGCAAGGACGGGACCAGGACGGTACAAAGACGGAACCAAAATGGAACAAGGACGGATCCAGAACGGGACTAGGTTCAGGACCAGGACTGGGCCAGGACTGAGCCAGTACAGGTCCCATCCTGGGGTAAAACTGGACCCAGGCAGAACCTGGATCACAAACTAACCAGGATTGAACCAGGACCTAACCTGGACCAAACCAGGACGGAAGTCGAATGAAACCAGGACTAAAACAATGGGGTCCATTAGTGGACGTGCTGCCCATTCATTTGTAAAGTTGTCCTCTTGAAATGTGGCTGTAGACCCAGGACTGAGGCTGTAGACCCAGGACTGAGGCTGTAGACCCAGGACTGAGGCTGTAGACCCAGGACTGAGGCTGTAGACCCAGGACTGAGGCTGTAGACCCAGGACTGAGGCTGTAGACCCAGGACTGAGGCTGTAGACCCAGGACTGAGGCTGTAGACCCAGGACTGAGGCTGTAGACCCAGGACTGGAGCTGTAGACCCAGGACTGAGGCTGTAGACCCAGGACTGGGGCTGTAGACCCAGGACTGAGGCTGTAGACCCAGGACTGAGGCTGTAGATCCAGGACTGAGGCTGTAGACCCAGGACTGAGGCTGTAGACCCAGGACTGAGGCTGTAGACCCAGGACTGAGGCTGTAGACCCAGGACTGAGGCTGTAGACCCAGGACTGAGGCTGTAGACCCAGGACTGAGGCTGTAGACCCAGGACTGAGGTTGTAGACCCAGGACTGGGACTGTAGACCCAGGACTGAGGCTGTAGATCCAGGACTGAGGCTGTAGACCCAGGACTGAGACTGTAGATCCAGGACTGAGGCTGTAGACCCAGGACTGAGGCTGTAGAACCAGGACTGAGGCTGTAGACCCAGGACTGAGGCTGTAGACCCATGGACTGAGGCTGTAGACCCATGGACTGAGGCCGTAGACCCAGGACTGAGGCCGTAGACCCAGGACTGAGGCCGTAGACCCAGGACTGAGGCCGTAGACCCAGGACTGAGGCCGTAGACCCAGGACTGAGGCCGTAGACCCAGGACTGAGGCCGTAGACTCAGGACTGAGGCCGTAGACCCAGGACTGAGGCCGTAACTAATGTTTTCGGTTCATTTCTGATTCATTCTCATGAACCACAAACACAGATCTGGAAACAGTCAGAGCCAGTTACGGTCCTCTGTGTCCTGTTGTGTGGTCTCTCTCTGGTCTCCCTCTGGTCTCTCTCTGGTCTCTCTCTCTCTGGTCTCTATCTGGCCTCTCTCTGGTCTCTCTCTCTCTGGTCTCTCTCTGGTCTCTCTCTCTCTGGTCTCTATCTGGCCTCTCTCTGGTCTCTCTCTCTCTGGTCTCTATCTGGTCTCTCTCTGGTCTCTCTCTCTCTGGTCTCTCTCTGGTCTCTCTCTGGTCTCTCTCTGGTCTCTCTCTGGTCTCTCTCTCTCTGGTCTCTCCCTGGTCTCTCTCTGGTCTCTCTCTGGTCTCTCTCTCTCTGGTCTCTATCTGGCCTCTCTCTGGTCTCTCTCTCTCTGGTCTCTCTCTCTCTGGTCTCTATCTGGCCTCTCTCTGGTCTCTCTCTCTCTGGTCTCTATCTGGTCTCTCTCTGGTCTCTCTCTCTCTGGTCTCTCTCTGGTCTCTCTCTGGTCTCTCTCTGGTCTCTCTCTGGCCTCTCTCTGTCCTCTCTCTGGCCTCTCTCTGGCCTCTCCCTGGTCTCTCTCTGGTCTCTCTCTGGTCTCTCTCTGGTCTCTCTCTGGTCTCTCTCTGGTCTCTCTCTGGCCTCTCTCTGGCCTCTCTCTGGTCTCTCTCTGGTCTCTCTCTGGTCTCTCTCTGGTCTCTCTCTGGTCTCTCTCTCTGGTCTCTCTCTGGTCTCTCTCTGGTCTCTCTCTGGCCTCTCTCTGGTCTCTCTCTCTGGTCTCTCTCTGGGTCTCTCTCTGGTCTCTCTCTCTGGTCTCTCTCTGGTCTCTCTCTGGTCTCTCTCTGGTCTCTCTCTCTGGTCTCTCTCTGGTCTCTCTCTGGTCTCTCTCTCTGGTCTCTCTCTGGTCTCTCTCTGGTCTCTCTCTGGCCTCTCTCTGGTCTCTCTCTCTGGTCTCTCTCTGGTCTCTCTCTGGTCTCTCTCTGGTCTCTCTCTCTGGTCTCTCTCTGGTCTCTCTCTCTGGTCTCTCTCTGGTCTCTCTCTGGCCTCTCTCTGGTCTCTCTCTCTGGTCTCTCTCTGGTCTCTCTCTGGTCTCTCTCTGGTCTCTCTCTCTGGTCTCTCTCTCTGGTCTCTCTCTGGTCTCTCTCTGGTCTCTATCTGGTCTCTATCTGGTCTCTCTCTGGTCTCTCCCTGGTCTCTCTCTGGTCTCTCTGTGGTCTCTCTCTGGTCTCTCTCTGGTCCCAGGCAAAGGGAGAACATGCAAACTCCTCCACAGATCCAGCCGCAGCAGCAGAGTGTGTTTTTGGGTCGTGTCTGCCCCGGGGCGAGGCTCAGGTTGAGCTAATGAGGGGGGGGGGGGGTAGGGGGAGGGGAGCAGGGGATTCTGGGACATTTAGTCGGGGGAGGTTTTACCAAATTATTCATCTTTCCACTTTTTTACAACGTGACATCATTGAGGGGCTCGGGGAGATCTTCAACCTACAGTTCATGCGAGGCAACCCAGGAATTTACAGCGACCAGAGGCTGTTTAAGATTGAGCTGCATTATCAACACTTGTTTCTGTGTGTGTGTGTGTGTGTGTGTGTGTCTGTGTGTGTCTCTGTGTGTGTGTCTGTGTCTGTGTGTGTGTTTCTGTGTGTGTGTCTGTGTCTGTGTGTGTCTCTGTGTGTGTGTGTCTCTGTGTGTGTCTGTGTGGGTGTGTGTGTGTGTGTGTGTGTGTGTGTGTGTGTGTGTCTGTGTCTGTGTGTGTGTGTGTGTGTGTGTGTCTGTCTGTGTGTGTCTGTGTGTGTGTGTGTGTGTTTCTGTGTGTGTGTGTGTGTGTGTCTCTCTGTGTGTGTTTGTGTGTGTCTCTCTGTGTGTGTGTCTCTCTGTGTGTGTCTCTCTGTGTGTGTCTCTGTGTGTGTGTGTCTGTCTGTGTGTGTCTCTGTGTGTGTGTTTCTGTGTGTGTGTCTGTGTGGGTGTGTGTGTGTGTGTGTCTCTCTGTGTGTCTGTGTGGGTGTGTGTGTGTGTGTGTGTCTCTGTGTGTGTGTGTCTCTCTGTGTGTGTGTGTGTGTGTCAGTCTCAGATCGCGCTGCTTCAGGGTGAGAGACGTGGTCATGAAAACCTCCGGAAAGATCTGCTGCGGAGAATCAAGATGTTGGAATATTCACTCAGACAGGAGAGGTACACACACACACATAGTTACACACAGATACACACACAGAGACACACACACACACACAGATATACACACGCGCGCACACACACACACACACACGCACACACAGATATACACCCACGCACCCACGCACACACACGCACCCACGCACACACATGCGCGCACACACGCACACACACACACACACACACACGCACACACACGCACACACACACGCACGCACACACACACGCACACACACACACACGCACACACACACACACGCACACACACACACGCACACACACACACGCACACACACACTCTAACATCCTTCTCTGGTCCAGGAGTAGGTTCCAGAGGATGGATCCAGGCTCAGACCTGATCCAGGACCAGCTGAGACCCCCACAGTACGACTCAGGTCAGAGCGCCCTCTGTGGCCACTTCATGGAACTGCAGCATGGCGCCCCCTGGAGGAGTCTGATGTCACTGCTGTGTTTCAGATGAGGAGGAGGAGGAGGAGGAGGAGGAGGAGGAAGTGTCGCCCACTGGTCCACAGAGCTGCGCACAGGGACAGCAGATCATCACCAGGTACAGAGGAGGAGGTCTGAGGAGACGGCCAGAGGAGGAGGCCAGAGGAGGAGGTCAGAGGAGGAGGTCAGAGGAGGAGGTCTGAGGAGGAGGCCAGAAGAGGAGGTCAGAGGAGGAGGTCTGAGGAGGTCAGAGAGGAGGCCAGAGGAGGAGGCCAGAAGAGGAGGTCTGAGGAGGAGGCCAGAGGAGGAGGCCAGAGGAGGAGGTCAGAGGAGGAGGTCTGAGGAGGCCAGAGAGGAGGCCAGAGGAGGTGAGAGGAGGAGGTCAGAGGAGGTGAGAGGAGGAGGTCAGAGGAGGAGGCCAGAGGAGGAGATCAGAGGAGGAGGTCTGAGGAGGCCAGAGGAGGTGAGAGGAGGTGAGAGGAGGAGGTCAGAGGAGGAGGTCAGAGGAGGAGGTGAGGAGGAGGCCAGAGGAGGAGGTCAGAGGAGGAGGTGAGGAGGAGGTGAGAGGAGGAGGTCAGAGGAGGAGGCCAGAGGAGGAGGTCAGAGGAGGAGGTCTGAGGAGGCCAGAGGAGGAGGCCAGAGGAGGAGGTCAGAGGAGGTGAGAGGAGGAGGTCAGAGGAGGAGGTCAGAGGAGGAGGTCTGAGGAGGCCAGAGGAGGTGAGAGGAGGTGAGAGGAGGAGGTCAGAGGAGGAGGTCTGAGGAGGTCAGAGAGGAGGCCAGAGGAGGAGGTGAGAGGAGGAGGTCAGAGGAGGAGGCCAGAGGAGGAGGTCAGAGGAGGTGAGAGGAGGAGGCCAGAGGAGGAGGCCAGAGGAGGAGGCCAGAGGAGGAGGTCAGAGGAGGAGGGCTGAGGAGGCCAGAGAGGAGGTGAGAGGAGGTGAGAGGAGGTGAGAGGAGGAGGTCAGAGGAGGAGGTCTGAGGAGGTCAGAGAGGAGGCCAGAGGAGGAGGTGAGAGGAGGAGGCCAGAAGAGGAGGTCAGAGGAGGAGGTCTGAGGAGGTCAGAGAGGAGGCCAG